CCTACTTAGCCTACCTAGATTTCTCATGACGAGTTAATGCATGTCCGTGGTTGGGTGCACCTGTAGTTCTGTTTATTGGTCAGTGGAAATGAAAACCCTGCTTGTCTTGTCTTTGAAGATGGGTTTGCGTCTATAAAACTGACATAGGAATAGTCGGTTTAAAATGAGTTTGTAGTTAGGATTTTTTTAAAAGAAATTTATGATTGGTGCTTTATTATAGCTGTGCATTTTTTTTTTTCCCAGAAAGCATTTTAAAATTAAGAAGACTTGTCCTAGCTATAGCATAGATCTAAAATGGCTGTCCTGGCCATTTTGCACACAAGTGTTGGCTACGGGCAGACCTGGGAAGGCAGATGAGGACGAAATAGCGCTCCACGTCAGGGCGATCCACAAGCTTTGGGTCGAATCCCTGATTCTCGGTCCTAAACTGCTTACTTCCTCAACTTGTGTCATTAGAAGCTCTCAACAGAATGCCTTAATTTCTTTTGTTTTTATTTTTCCTAGCAATCTAAAACAAATTCACTTGCCTGAGCTCCCGAATTTTCCTTGATTGTTGTTTAATTTCTATGTTCAATGGTGTTATAATTGTCTGATATGATGATTTAATTGTATATAAGGAAAATTCACCGTGTTACCCCCTGGGGCGGGTGTCTGGTTCAGAAGAGTTTTGAACTCCTCCCTGAAACTGAAGCCTCCGGTTTCACTCGAGCTGAGCAATTAATTCCCTTTTCTGTTTTGTTTTTGTTCTGTGTTCGGTTACAGAACTCCAAGATGGGAGGCAAGCTGAGCAAGAAGAAGAAGGGCTACAATGTGAACGACGAGAAGGCCAAGGACAAAGACAAGAAGGCTGAAGGCGCGGGGACCGAAGAGGAGGGGACCCCCAAGGAGGGCGAGCCCCAGGCGGCCGCCGAGCCCGCCGAGGCCAAGGAGGGCAAGGAGAAGGCGGAGAAGGACGCCCAGGACGGCGAGGGCAAGGCCGAAGAGCAGGAGGGCGCCAAGGACGCGGCCGCGGCCCCGGAGGAGGCCCCGAAGGCGGAGCCCGAGAAGGCGGAGGGCGCGGCCGAGGCCAAGGGCGAGCCGAAGGCGGCCGAGCCGGAGCCCG